AAGTTGAGTTTACAGCCAATAAGTACTAGGCTAGACTCTCCAACGCAAGCAGTCTCCAAGCCTTGGCCAGTGAAGCGCCGAAGCTTATCGGGCCCAAACTCAACCCCAAACCCCACCACGGTTTAGGGTTTAAGGCTTAGGGTTTAGGGTTTAAGGTTTAGGGTTTAGGTTTTAGGGTTTAGGGTTAACCCGTAACCCATTAATGCATGAGTTAACGATCGACTCCCTTGTCTGCACAACCATGCAGAGCTTCGGATGGTCACGCTCTGAGTTTAAGCATTCTCCTATGTGCACCCCTCTGTTGCCGCAGTTAGTCCTTGCCCGCATGGCAATTCCCTCTCTTCTGGTTGAAAGGCTATGTCTTCGGTTTCTGAATCTAGTGTTTCCGGTATGTGGCCGGCCGTAGTTCGGGACAGAAATGCAATCCATCACAAGGCTCACAAAGCGCTGCTTTGCGGCCTACCTAGCTTGGGACGCTTAAGGCTACGTGGACCGAAAAGAATTACCAAGTTGGGTGATACGTGGGGTTGACCGGCATTCGGCACATGCTCGAAAGCAGGATAAGCTTCAGTGTTGCAGCTTTAATCCCAAACCCAACCCCCCCAAATCTCCAAACCGTGAAACCCCGAATCCCTACGCACCCGTAAACAGAACCCTAAACCCTAAACTCTAAACCAACACTCCATGCTTCAATGGCCCAAACCATGTCAAGGCCCGACAAAAACTCTGCCCCCACCTGCGACTGTGGGAGACCGCCACCTCGGCTTGTGGGACGTGGGTTTAGGGTTTAGGGTTCTGCTTTCTGGGTTTTCGGGCTGTTTAGGGCTCGTCGGGGTTAGTGGCTTGAGCTCAGGTCAGGCTCGTCGGGGTTAGTGGCTTGAGCTCAGGTCAGGATTTCGAGGTTTCCCTAAACCCTAAACCCTAAACCCTAAACCCTAAGGGAAGAGGCGGAGCGTGGGATGTTTTACGGTTTGTGCCCGAGTCAAGTCAAGGTCCTTTCGATATCGGGGCCGCAGTAGCTAGGATGGTGTTTTGGTGTACATTGTACCTAAAAGTAGAAAACAGTATAAATAGAAAGGCTAGGATGGTGTTTTGGTGTACATTGTACCTAAAAGTAGAAAAAAGTATAAATAGAAAGGCTACAGTAGGATGGTGTTTTGGTGTACATTGTACTAAAAGTAAACAAAAGTGTGGAGAGGAAGGGCAAGCTTAGTACTTCACTACTACAGTGCGCTGTAGCTAACCAGTCAACAGTCGGACCGCTCAAAGGATGCCCGTCTTACCAATCCGAGTGGCCCAGAATCCTAAAACGGAGCTGAGGACCGTAGATACTTGGAGGTTCATGGGTAGCTACAAGTAGGGTTATACATCCCCGAATATGGGTTATAACTATAGTTACCCTACTTAAAACCCCACTTATAACTACCCATGAACCTCCAAGTATGCCAGGCCCCTTCAAACAGACGGACAAGGCTGCCGACCTCAGAAAGCCGGCCTCACAAACCCAATCTTAAGACTCAATAATCAGAATAGGGTTTTTGAGCTTTTCCAGGGTTTAGGGTTTAGGGGTTTAGGGTTTAGGGCTTTTGGGTTTTGGGCGTTTTCAGGGTTTAGGGTTTAGGGGCCCTGATACTTGTAACAGGGTTCTGGAATATCATACTATACTTAAACTACGGATCCCCCAAAACCCTAAACCCTAAACCCTAAACCCTAACAACTAGTAAGGCCCCTGCATTATACCTCAACACTGAACCCCCAAAACCCCGGGTCCTCAAGGCCCTGGGCCCTGAACCTTTGAACCTTCGGAGCCCCTACTAAAGACTTCAACCCTCAACAGCCCCAGACCTAAAGCCTCAAGCTACCAGAAACCCTCAGCCCTAAACCCTAAACCCTACCATTATGCAGGAACATCATACCCTAACAACTAGTGCACAGCCCCTACACACTAAACCCGAAACCCTAAAACCTAAACCCTAAACCCTAAACCCTAAAACCTAAACCCTAAACCCTAAACCCTAAAACCTAAACCCTAAACCCTAAACCCCGACACCCTAAACCCTAGAGAGTCAAGCTGCCGAAGCAAGGGAGCTTCGGCATCGGCGGTGGCCCTGGTGGCCTCATGGACTCAACCCCTAGGGCTCCAAGTATACAAATAGTACCTACTTTGGGGTCTAAAGTCTATAAATAGT